CTCCGAAGTAAATCTATTTTGGCAAATGCTGCTGGTAATTCTTCAGTTTCAGTTTTTAAATGCTTAGAACATTTAAGATAACTTTCAAAAAGTTCAGTAAATTCACAGTGTATTATCATGAACTTCGACACAAGATGTATACATGTTTATACATTATTAACCAAGATTGTCAGGTCAAGATGGCTGGATATTGGCCAAGCTTAAGTTTTTTTTTTTGCGTATTTGTGGGTCGAGACGAAGAGACGAAGAAGAACGATGCCAACATTTTTGTTGCGGGATCGAAGCGGCAAATCCGAGCGGGCAAGATGGGCCCTTCTTGCCTGCTCGGGTAGCCAATCAAAACATAGATTTCTCTTCATCTTGCTCGCTCGGGTAGCCAATCAGAACTAAGGGTTCTCTCCATCTTACCAGCTTGCGGATGCAGCCATATAATAATACAATATCTTTCTCTTGACTTTGACCCCGGTACATATGAAAAGCCGCCGCCGAAAAGACAGCTGTGGCTAGATGGTCATGTTATTAAAAAACTTTTACCTTTTTTTTTTTCAACAGGTGGTTCAAATTTGGAGATGTTTATAAGCCAATCCGGTCCATCTGGTTGGCCGAAATCCTGTCCAACCGGTTATTCTCAACATCTGGGTGCCATCGAACAAGATTGCGAGATAAACTATTGCGTGAAGTCTAATGTATTCAACAGCCAGGGGTTACCCATCATCAAGAGACCCCCCTATTCTGATGCGCCGAAAGTTATCAATTACTCTGTGCCTATGCTGTTGGTTAACGAAGACAATGGTCAAATTTGGTTCAAACCCTCAGGAAATAAACCACAATGGTTGTTCGCGACCAAAAGGTAATGCTGATACTAAATTAAGTACGTGACTGTACATTAGGTGGAGAGAGGGGCTTCAGTCTTTCTTAAGATATGGTAATGCTGAAATCGCTTCTACATCTATTTATTTTAGGGAACAACATCTCTATTTTTTTCTATTTTTTTTTTCCCAGTGGCTTTCGATTGCTCCCCTTCCAAAAAAAATTCATGGTCTATGGCGATGTGCACGCGAAATTCACTCAAGATCGAGTCAATTTGTTTCGTTTGTTTAGTTAGGCGCAGATGAGTTACAGTAGAGATTTTTTCTATTCGGTTGTATTGATGATAAGAAACAAATACTGTCTTAAAATTTAGTTTTGTTTCTTATGTTAAGGTCATATCTACAATGCTCCATAGCTATGTTTTTCGAAGGTACTTAAAATTTATTCGGAACGGTATTATATTATGGATGTTAGAACCTACTACGTATTGTGGTGTTCTTTTTACCGCGCCAACTAGCCAGATCACGTTGAACTTAGGTTTGAAAACCATCCTAATGCAGTTAAGTCTTCAATGACCACAGCTGGCTAGTTGGCTCAATTGGTGGAGCGGTGCACCGTTATCGCGTAGGTCAAGGGCTCGAATCCCTTACAAGCCTGGATTTTTTTTCAGGCTTTCTTTTCGTAACTACGGGAGTTGCGTCTGTAACTGCGATAGTCTTCTTTCGTATCATTCTTCGGCTCGCAGTTCATGATTTCCATCTATTCACGACTTCAATGATATAATTATCACGCCCTTTGACTACCTGCTCGGGACTGAAGAGTTGTCAGACGTTACAGAAATATTTTCGTGACCAGGCAAGTTACCAAGACTCGAGCTCGATAAACGGGTCCCAGGTTAAAAAATCTGGCAGAAGAATTATATATCCCTAGGTGTTAACAGCTTACTTTTCATCTCATTAAAGCTCTTTTCTTTTTACTTAGCACCGTTGAAGCATACAGAAAACAGGTAAACCTGGAAGGTCACGCCATTATAGGAGTAGCCACAGACGACGTCGCTCTTGCTACGCATGACAAACAGAAGTCTTACCAGAGTTCCAGTCATAGCATGAATGCTGGGACAGCGGCTGGTATTACATTTGGCGTCACGGCATTGGCTGGATTATTGATTGCTGTCATGGTGATTGGCTGGCGCCGTCATAAGAGCGTGAACAGAGAAAGCAGCGACTTGAGAGAGCCACTGAACTCTCTCGGGAATTATGGTGCTGTCCATGACGAAGGGAGTCCCAGAGTTTGATTTAGTACAAAATCAGGATACAGAGTGCCTTTCTCCCTCCTCCCGCAGACCCTTATCATTAAACAAAGGATTACAAGACAAACTTGAAAATAAGCGCGCGTTGGTCGATAGGAAGAGGAAAAAGGCTTTTGTAATGTTGTCCTCGCATTTTCTTTTACATACTGTCTTTAAGCACATGGCGGGAGAAAACAAGCCTCTAAAGAAGCCCACGTACCTATGCACAGCGGTCTTCCAAGGAGATATTTGATTTAACTCAGTGATTTTGAGGCACGATATGCTATGCTTTGGTCCGAAACTGTAACGAATCGTACGCGAGTGGAATAGCTTTGCGGCTAATTTACTTAGGGCTGTTAACCTTGCAGTGGATATTTTGTAATTTTTATAACGTCAATAATTTTAAGTAATTTGTACTATGGGGCATTCCTGGTAGCAATTATTGTTAACGCCATTTTTCCTTTTCAATAAAGAGGGTCTAAAATATTAATTATTTTCCCAGTTTCAGTTCACGACTGAATTTTCTCACTTTTTGGTCATCTTGATCGTATAGCGAGAGAGATCCTCGGATAGTCAATGACTGAGAATGAAAAATTACAATGCCATTATTTCTTTCTTTTTACATGTACTGCTTGTAAGGCTAAAAGAGTTTCAAATTCGAGCGAAAAAAGATGAGAGCTTCTCAGTTTATTTTGTCCAGTCACAGTGAATGGCGACCGAGAACACTTGCCGTGTACCAAACGTATTTTACTTACTTTGGAGAGAAATTAAGAAATATGCAAAAATTGAGTTACCTATAGTTAATTTCCAAATATTTTAGACAAATTTTAATTGCACACATTTTAGGCATGCTACTGATGAACAGTTGCGGCTTTTAGATATTTCTAGCAACAACAATTTGCCGTCTGTCCTCTTTGAATTTGTACAGTTATATAATTCCAGTTCCAGTGCCGTGCTGACGGGAAGCGTAAACAAACAAACACAGCGGACGGAACAGCAAACGACAGAGGGCTGGCTGACGTTCGGCGTGCGCCGTTAGCTCGGTGCTGAGAATCTAACTTTGACAAATCCCTAAGAACGCCTCCTTGATAGCTTGTGCCTCTTTCTAGTCACACGTATTGTGACTTGTCGACGGACCAAGAAGATCCGGGTGAAATTCTAGTCGTGTTAAAAATGTAACATGCACAAAGCAAATCTGTTGTTGTCAAAGTGATCATATTGCTTCCAGGGCCGTACCTAATTTTTGTCTACGGGGGCAAACTCCGCACACCTTCGAAGGGGTCTCCCGTATACAGACAGGGTTTCTAGTTGGATGTTTTGTTTTCACCCTTTTACAGAAGGTTGCCTCTAAAACCTTTAAGGAAACAAACCAAAATGATGCTTTTTGTTTTAATTGTCATGATTTATTATGGCATAAACACCTTGTTTAGTTTGAAATTGCGCCCGGGGTCTCTGCTACACAATGGTGATTTATATACCATCTTTAGCTATACTATGAACAGCAGTTTAACACTTTGTATGGATGGTGTCCAAAATGGGTTGAAAGCTTTCGTTAGTTTAAGCAGAAATTGGCTTGAAGGAACTGAGCTAAAATTGCAGGTTTCGGTATCAGAATACCAAGTCTCAAAAATGAGTCTCCATTGGGCGGTTCTAGATTCTTCACCAATTTGACTTCATGTCATAGATCTCTTTTGGAGTGGGAATGAACTCCGTTCCACGATGAATTAACAGCATAGCAAGGCCACTTAATCGACCTTCTGTCATTGATGACCGAGTCCATAACTTTAGACGGTGTAGGGCTGAGAAGGAGCGTTCGCAACTGACTGTTCCGATGCTTCTTCAGCCAATCATATCAATAAGCCCTCCAAAAATAAGAGTTCCGTGGACGCTATTTTACACAACGTTGCCGATGGTTTGCGAAAACCGAATCTAAAGTCAAATGATAAATTCTTTCAATTGTATCAAACTTACCTTCCCTGCTAGTCGATTCCTCACTTGTTTGGTTCTCATCATTGTTCTCATCGTTGTTCTCATCATTGGAGCTATCGATTTTGAAAAGTTAAGCTTAATCACATAGAGTATTCAATCACTGAACGATTAAATGCCATGTTGTCCAATCTACAAAGCTGTGATGTGGCTCACCGAATTTCATACTACAAAGAGCTAAGAATGAACACAGCAACCAAAACGGGCAACTATTAAATGTATTAAATAACACACGTTGTAGGTTGATACTTTCCTTTTTTGGCGTCAAAGAAGTCCATTATACCTCGTTAAGGGGGAAGCCGGGCGCTTTCTTCCCGACATTTTGCCGGCGGGGATTGAGAGAGAAACGTTTTGCAAATGTTGGCAAGAAACACGCGTCAACGGTTTCCCGCCAAATACTAAACCACAGCCAGCCCAAATTACATAATCATTATTGTCATAACTCGTGCTGGCTTTTCCCTCGAAAGAATTTCCAAAATAATCATTTGGAATGTATATTGAAGGAAGATTTTTCAGTCAATTAGTCGGTTTTCTTGAGATTTCAGATCAATATAACTACAAAAAATAGCCCAGCAAAATCAAACACTATTTATTACTCACTAGTGCACGCATTAACCAGCGCCATTTTAACGGAAAATGTCAGTGGTGTGGCCGTCGGCTCAAACTCCTTCAACAAAAATTATCGTGGCATCTTTTCTGTGCCAAAAGGACCGACATTAAAAATACATAAAGTTAAACCCGGCCTTGTAGTCGTCCTCCGATCTAAAGGTCATTATGTAGTATCAAACCATGGATTCTATTTTCCATGATCAAACCAAGGCCGCGCTTTCGAACAACTGCTCGCGCACTGAGATGCCAACTGATTTATGACGCAAGCCGTACACGCGATCTCCCTTAACTGAAAATCAAAACGGTAATGGAAGCTCTTCCAAACGAGTTACTGTCCCATATTTTCGGTTTTTTACATCCCATTTACGACAATTTAGCTCGTCTGTCGCTTGTATGTAAGCGGTGGAAGGCGGTCATCGAAGAAACACCTTCACTTTGGAAATGTATACACTTCACGCGAGCGTATCCTTTTTTCATAACGAAAAATGCCAAGCATAGAGAGGTTCTTCGACATTGCCTTTTGAAGTTTGGACGTTATGTTACGTGTTTAAGGGATCATCCAATTACAAGAACATTCGCGGAACCAAGCCTACGGGACATTCTCCCTAACTTGTCAAATTTAACGTGTTTAGATGTCCCTCTTTTAGAATGGGAACCTCGATTCTTGCAATCCTTGACTTGCGCAAGCACGCTGGAGGAATTGAATCTGACAGAATACCTTCTCTCAGAGCCACCAAAAATACAATGGCTGTTTCAGCAGCCAGATTCACTAAAAAAGAACTTACTAACGTCTCAGCATTTACAGGTGATCCTCCTAAGATTTCCTCGTCTCAAAATTTTGAAACTTGCACTTGACTGTATTGCGGTTCCGCCTCCCACTTTAACATCTTTTCTGAACAAGACGAATATAACAGAGTTAGAGCTTTCAGGTTTTGGACTCACACCATCTCTGTCCCATCATTTTATTCTCAACCGCGATATGTGTTTGAGAACGATTGCTTCTTCTCAACGACTCGCATCTTTGATAACGCGTTTGGAGCTTAGAACTTGTCCACTTTTTTACAGCAGCGACGACCTGCAGTCAATGCTAAAACTCATGAAGTCACTTCGCCATCTTTTCGTTGGAGCTGGCTTGATTCACCGGGACCCTAAGAGCCTGCTGTCTATTGAATCTTCCACCCTGATTACACTGGGTATAGATGGCCTTCCAACGCTGAGAATGCAGTGTCTTCGTTGCAATACGCCTAATTTAAGAGAATTCAAGCTTGCAAATTGCCGTGATATGACAGCTGTGTTTGTGTATTCAACAAGCTTAGAATCCATGTGTTTACGAGATCTTTACAGTGTTTATAACTTGCAGACCACTTCGATTCGGTTGAACCATTTGGAGTTATGGACATGCCCTGAAATGCCTGTTACAGCTCTACGAAATTTTCTGAAGGAGCATCAGACCATACAAAAACTCTCTCTCATTGGCGGACTGACGGGTCTTACCTTATATGGCTGTATGTGCCCTCATCTAAGCGAACTGAAAATTATGTTGTTTGAAGTTCAATGGTTTAAACTCGGAAGTATAAAGATCGACTGTCCTTCCTTAAAGCGTTTCTACTGCGATGGAAATTGGCGAAATCCTTTCACTAGAACTCCAGACGACTTTTCTGGATTTCCTCGTGGTCTGTCAACCTGCTCTATTTTCATACGAAGCGGAAAACTGCAATACGTGTGGATTAACTTGCCCAATGCGAGCACAATTAGCGTTAAATGTAAGCAGCTTGACAATATGAATGTAACAATTGGCGAGGAAGCAAGCTGCCTTAAGGAGCCAATGGAGTTTGAAGTCATTGCTGACAAAATAATTTGTCTCCACACAACGAACTGCAAGTTTTCACGCTATCATCTCCAAGCAACGGATATTGGGACAGTGACGCTGCGGCAATGCGAAATATACAGCGATGAATCAATACCACGGCTTATTGTTCATACAAAATCAATCAGTAAGTTAATACTGGACAATTGCCACAATATGGTATTTGCAGAGCTTCGTGTCAAACCTAAAAAAGCTGCTCGTCACGTGTACATTTACGATTGCGACCGTTTGCGAAGCATTGCGGTAACGCGTACTGGAAAGTCACTTCCAAAAATTTCCATCGTTAATTGTAAGAATCTCCAAGGTGTCGCATCCGGAAGGCAAGATGACTTTTCAAACGTTTTTATCACTGATTGTCCTTTATTTAATATTCCCAAACGTTCGACAAAACTGTAAAAACAACTGCTACACATTTGCTAAGAAAATGACTCCCCTGACCAGCTAGGTGACTGGTTTAGGATAGTTTGCTATGGTGTATTTGCTCAAGATCGACTTCTAATCTTGTGTATGTCATTGTGAGCTGATCGACTTTGCTAATAAACACCGACTTCATCTTTTCTTTAGATTCTGTAAACGAATACATGCAGCTGCTTCAAATATTAAAAGTAATTTTGGAACAATTGAATTACTTAAAACACGAACAAATAGACACGCTTACAACGTTCTGCATGTAGGTGCGGACCTTGACTTCATGAATTTTCCATCTCTTCTTCTTCTTCTTCTTCTTCTTCCTCTTTATCGTCTTCTTCTTCCTCCTCTTCTTCTCTCTGTTAACAGTGTTCTGTTCGTTGGACTAACACAGCAAAAACGGGGACTCTGCAAGTCCCCCTGGGGAATTTTCTACACTAAAAGGATATAACCCGCTGGTTTGACAGTGGCGGCCGAAAAAGTTACCTTTATCGGGTTGGAGGTATACTGGGTATGGAAAGGTACCTGTTCTAAGTTGTTTAAAAAAAGGGGATTTTTTTTGCATTTCTTGTCCTGATAAATACTAATTTAAATTATCGTTGATAATAATAATTTTAATTGTAAATTATAATTTAATCACTTATATTGCGCAAGTATTCATAAAAACGATCAAATGCGCATTACATTGGTAATAGAAGCATAAAAAACTATTTCCAATACGAAAAACAATAAGAAATATACACAACTACAATAAAAATCTTAAATATCGATATGTAAATAGTTAAAATTCATTTTTAACGATAAGCAAAATAAAAAGGGTGCGTCTTAAGATGGCGTTTAAAAGTATATGCAAGTACAGAATGTTGCGAAGCTCGCGCGGTTATAAACATTCCATAACTTGGGCGTAGCCACCTGGAAGGATCTTAATAGGGCAAATATTAATGCGCTTGGCAGCTCTTGCTAGTCTACATGCAATCCGCTTAAATAATAATAAAATAATACAAATTATCTTTTTTAAAAAATAATAGCAAAAAATCCTAACTAGCATGTAAGGGGTAATCGGTTGGCTGCTTTCAAGAATGACAGACGCTGACCACTCAGCCATTCTGCTCCCTCCAAAGTCCTACCAACTTGGAGGGAAACAATGCTCTGGGATAAGAAAGCCTACACGTCGCTTTTCTAATGTGACCTATGGTTGCACAATGAACTTCTTATTCCATGATGGCCTTGATTTTTGAATATAAGTTACTTTTACAGCCAAATTCTGGAACGCGCTTGGGGAACATTAACAGTATCACTTTTGATTCAATTCCTTCCGCCGGCTAATTTTGTCACATTAATTGGTGTGTTTTTTGTAAATTTGCTTTTACGTTTGGTTGTTTGTTTTTTTGTTGCTGTTGTTGTTTTGGTTTGACTTCGTTTGAGTTCAGTTTCGTTAAAAGAAATTAGCTTCCATTCATCAGTACGTTAGCTCATACAAACATGGTGGCAAAAAACGCTACCCTATAAAATCATGGCTGAACAAAGTCTATGTACGGTTACAGTTATAATTTACAAATTTATTTTCCACAAATATCAACATTAATGCATTATTTAAAAAAAGCAATACAACGACTAAAAGTAAAACAATAATAATAAATAAATAATTACTAAAACTTCAAATGAATTGCTGAAGGCTTATTGGTATAAAGTTGCATGTTGGGAGTATTTTTACATATGCATCTCCCCTCACTGAGTTAAGTTAAAAACTAGTTTTAGAACCTTTTATTATTCATTCAAAATATTTCCCCGATCATGATTGGCTAAAAGCACACGCATAATTCACCATCACCAGCTACTGATGACCAAATTTGGAAGAATTTTGCGATTAATCAACCGATGACGTCAAAAGTGCAACTTCCTCGCAGGTTAATGTACCGTTAACCGGGAAGACCTGGGGACGAGGTTGAGTTGTTTTGGTTATGAAAACAGAAATGGTGGACATTTCACTTGTTTCAAGAGTAGGAACTAGGCGAGATAATAGCTAAAAACATGGCAAGAACAGCAAAAAGACAACTCGAAGGGCGACATCTGCTATTTGGAGAATATTTAATTTTCGGAGCTGAACAACCCTAAACGTGCACTATCGAATATAAACTTAACGTCGATGGAAGTAAGCATGTTTTAGCTATGTTTTAAACTAGGAATTATTTTGAATGAAAAATAAAACAATTATTGAATTCGGCTTTCGTATCATATGAAGAATTATGGAGACCGAGGAGGGTGTTATCCGCCTTGGCCTACGCCGGGCCTCGACGGATAACACCTCGATCAACACTCCAAGATCTTCTTCATAAGAAACTCAGCCTCATTCATTTATTGTTAAATAATTTATATCATAAACTCATTAATATTTGACAAGTTAATACAGATAAGTGGTTTTCAGAGATTTGTTTTCAAAAGATTTCAAGTACAGTCCCTGATGTGTTTGGAAAACTCATTTCACAGTTTCAGCTCAGCAACAGTAAAAGTTGACCGTGAGAATGGGTCTAAGTTGAAACCAAATGCACTAATGGGAAAACTATAGGTGTTCAAGATACACAAAATTTGTACGTTATTCGTAAACAGGCCTCTCCATGGACAGGATCCTTCACTGCGAAAAAAATGTTCTTAGTTTGAAAGTTGCATTAGTTCCTTTTGCAATGTAAACATGGATTACAGAAAACGACACAGATTCTGCTAAGCTATTCAATAATGATAGGCCTTATGCTGGCCTTTATTCGTTCAGTAACTTAGCAGGCAAATTCTGGAACGTACTTTGAGATCACTATCGAACCATTCTTGATTTGAATTCTTTCCACCGGTTAATTTTGTCAAACACACTGTTGTGTTTTGTGTAAATTTTCGACTTTTCGTTATAAACGCTGATCTAGAAATTCGAGGCTAAACAAAGTTTAGGTGACGAGTATGTTAAATTTTGTACAAAATTCATTTAATAAATTTGGTAGGCGAAAACATCAACGTATAAAACAAATTTTAAAATGTGCATTATAACGAGTAAAAGGAAAACAATAAATAATTACTTAACCGACAAATAAACGTTAGAATATATATACCAGGGCCCAGTTGCTCGAAGCATGGTTAGCGTTAACCAGCATTTAATACCTTGACAACGTATTGGTTTTGATGCTGCTTAACCAATGGTTAAAGCTAACCATGCTTTGAGCAACTCAGCCCTGGTATATAACTGGTAACCTTGTAATATATGTAGTCCAAACGAGTGTATCAATGAGTTAAGTTAATAAAAACTTGTTTTAAATATTGAAAATTTGGTATAAAATCACTAATTGATACAGTTAATACAGATATGAGCGGTCACAAAAAAGGCGTGACCGTGTTCGAGTACTAATGCAAGTACAGTCCCTGTTACGTTTGGAAAACTCATTTCGTAGTTTCGGCACCGAAACGCTACAAAACGTGTCTAATGTTGTTATGCAAATACTCCAAACGACTTTGTTATGACCATTGAGAAATTTATTAGCTACTTTGAAGATAAGAGCAAGACTTGGTCGATGTTGAAACAAACTGCGAAGCATTTCGCCGCAGTCAAACGAGACAAATTTGCAAAAGTTAAGCAAAGTAATTCAAAGCTAAGGTTGCTACTTTCGCTGTCAAACGTTTAAGGTAATACCAATATCTTTTAGTTTTCTGAACTTTTTTAAAGTTTACTAAAAAAAATTTTCAAGTGCTTGAAAACCAATGTTAATGTCGGCGCCATTTTCCAGCATCATTTTCTTTTAGCGCGAAGCGATTTTAATGAAAAATAGCTCAAATTTCTGAGAAAAATGAAATAATAGTTATGTTATCGAACTGACTTTTACGCCGTTGCCCATTTCTTTTCACTAACTGGTAAATGAAATCCCAGCAATTAAAACGAAAAAAAAAAGACTTACACGTTTGACTGCGGTGAATGCGCAGCACAGCCTTGCGCGCTTAGCCTTGTAACAGCCAATAACCTCAGAACCACCACTGTGGTGCAATTCGTTGCAACGTCGAACCAGTCTCCACAAGCAACCACAAAATAGACAATACGTATGAAATGGCCCATACCTTAGCTGCTAACTGAGATTTTAGAAGGCTCTAGTCGTTCCTCTTCCAAGAGTTTTTTGATATTTGTTAAGCGGATCTCGTTTAGTACTTCTGATCCCACCGTTGACAGCTTTGAAATATCGGAATGCCTTCTACTTGCTGGACGGCAACGGCAGCATATCATTGCTTTAATATTGACCCTAAATTGGTGGTTTACTAGGGCATACACAAATGGATTAATGGCGGAGTTGAACAAGACCAATGTTCCAGTTGTCACATACGACAAGTCACTGCTATCGTATATAGAGGTAAACGTGGTTAAGATGTAGTTAATTGAGTCAGCGAGCCAACATACTCCAAAGATGACACTAACTGTGACTACCATCAAGGTGACACGCTTTCTTACCCTCACCAAAACCTGTTGAAAAACAGTTAAGAGGTGGTAAATTTCAACTTACTCACACGTAAAACTTCTCACCTCTCACGAATCTAGAAACAATCGATCGCCAGCTATCAGGGGCACCCAACAACTGTTTTCTGTAAAATATCTGTTCGGAGAAGTAAATATTGCCCAGAATTTTCTATCACTTGAGGACGGCTAAAAGTTGCCAGGTTACTGTTCCATTCATGTACCATTTTCAAAGCTTATCTAATAAATCCCCTACGATTTTCTGAAATTAATTTTCACGTTTTACTTCCCAAGTTAGACTATTTTTCTGAGAAAAAAGGAAACCTAAAATTTTCGGATTCAAAAATGTGATGGAGAGAGGAATCAGAAAATGTCTCACTTTCGTAATACGTCAAATTGCATCCAAAAATGTTCGGGAAAATAATACTCAAGCCGTTATAATTTTGGAAAGACTCAAGTTCCCCTAAGATGACCGAACAGATACAAATTTGTTAGCGCCACTTAGAATCTCGTACTTAGAAGCTCTTAAAAGTACTCTTGATAACCTAAAATTGTTTTCAATGTATTTAGGAGGAAACGGTCGTTGGGTACCCCTAAGCTGTGCGCGGTTGCTACTTCTTGCAAGGCCACCCCCATATCCAAATCTGAGATAAAAAGGCCGGTGCGACTGAAATATCACATCCGGTTTTTTTTCTTTACTTTTCCCAATCTCGTCCCTATTACTTATCGTTTCATTTGGTTACGTGGTCTTTGATACATGTTCATTAATAAGAATAGAATAATAATAATAATACTAACACTAATAATAATAATAATAGTTAGTACAGCAGAGAATTATTTATTTTACAATGACGTGGGTGATGGTAAGCAAGATATTCAAAAATTCGTCAAACCTGTTGTGTTTTGTGTTGTCCATGCTTAAACCACAAAGAATACATAACTCGTGTGTAAAGAGCGATCATAAAAGAAACAGGAAGGAAAGCTGTGAACAGGAACCAAGTCACAGAATAGGCCTTCTCTATCCACACTTCAGGGTAAACTTCAGTGCACTCATCTTCCTCCTCGTCATATTCGCCAAAGAAGAACATTGGAATGTTCATAAAGACTCCAAAAATCCAAGAACAAATTATAATCACCTGAAAATACACCAAAATTATTCACTGACTTATTTTGAAAATGAATGATTCAGTTCCACCAGGTTGCGCCCTTTATGGTACGCATCTGTTCAACATGCTTACACTATTTTCTGTGCCGCCTAGGTTGTGCTGCCTCTCGCTTACATAACAGGTACTCTTGCACCATACAATTGAGTAATTTCTAAATGGGATTTCCGCATTTGATTTGAAAATTAACGTTTTTTTATTTATTTTTTTTTTACAATGTTCAGTCATTTATCTCTCTATTCAACCGTCTTTATTATCTTTTACACTTCTCGTTTGTGACATTACTTACATACAAACATACATACATACATACTTTATTGCATAGCTCCCCCTTGGGGGCTCTTCCGCCATACATACACGAATTAAAATAAAATGAAATAAAATAAACTAGAAAACTATTTACATTTCAATGATAAAATAACGAATTTCTATAAATAATAATGAACGTTAATTTTAAAGGCTATTTACATTTCAACAATAATAAAAAAACTATTTATGAATTAAAAAGATATTTAAAAATTCTCTTTTTAAAAGCGTTGAAATATACTGTTATAAAGTTTTGCCCCACGGTAGCTGAAAGTCTTTTGGCTAGTGGCCAGCCTATATCGAGGCAACGTAAGGTCTTGTTTTTCTCATTGATGAGGTATTCAGTGTTCAATCGTGCCGAGTCACAAACAAACCTCACGGCTTTCCAAAGAAAAAGTTACTTAGTGTATGACAATCCCCACATATACCTTTAGTTTCCGAGTAGTAAGCTTTAACCTGGTAGCAAGGGGATGTATCACTGCAAAGTAACGCTCAGTTGCTATGGTAACCAGTGTAGCAACCGACGCAGCACTTCCAATATAGGCCGCTGTCGCACCTGTCACTAATCTGCATAGCGCCGTGCCAAAAACGCCATTTGGGTGTGCAGAAGGGCTGAGAAAAATGTATTGTGCTAGGAAGAAAGTGGCTGCGGTCATGTCAGCAACTGCTAAGTTTATGAGTAGATAGTTTATTGGAGTTCTGGGGAACATAAACGAAAAAATGCAATAAATACAAAGCTTATATTATGACGCACGAATATTTTTTGTGCTGTTTTTGAGATAAACTGATAGTCTTGCACTTATATTTCTGTTCATGCTCATAGTAAGTCGTCGCTTCGGGGAGGCACCGCTAGTTTGCTGGTGGAGCTTAAAACGCGACGATTTTCAGTTCCAAAGGTTCATTTCTAGCCTTAGGCGTCCTATCGGTTCGTCTCCTTATCTTATCAACTCATTATGTGCTCATTTTCTTTATCCACATATTTTTGACCACAAATTGGTGAATGAAGAGTGGTTTCGCATTTGTTAAACGTCCTTATCGGTATTTGGAGTTGTATTACTCAGTTGCGTTTAAACAGGTGTACACCCTTGTCGTCTTCTGTATTGGCTTTGTTTCCATATGTTCTGGAAATAATTAATGGTCTCCGCCACATCGCAGACGTACAGTAGACGCAATTTTCACACTAAAAGACTCTCATTAAAACATGGTATGTTTGTGATCGCTATCAGAATAAATGCAGAAAACATTTGTCTGCGGTCTCTTGAAACGTATCTGAATTCGTCGGAAACAGTTAGCTTCGTTCCCATCGTGTTCCAAACCTTCGCAGACTGTTGCACACCACAAGGAAATCAAGCTTACCGTATTGACTTGAATTAACGCCCCACCCAATCGGAAGAATGCGGTGTCTATAAGAGTATTACAAGGAAAACATTGTTCAAGCTTGGTAATCATTTATTCATAATGAGTCTTTTTAACCTACTGTAAAGCACATTTGATCATGCACCAGGGAAAATTGCGCTTTTTTTGAATTATTTATAATTGAAATTTGTGATCTAAACAATGCAGACTATATCGATTCTATCTCAGCAAAAAAGCAAGACATTAAATTGTTGGCTTCCCACTTTGAGTGTGAAGGGGTAAAATGTACCTACTTCGACTTTACTTGGTCACCATGGAAACGTTTGTAGTTCAAAGAAGAGCTGAAGTTTGCAGCCAAGTATGGTGTACACTACACTTGACAACACACTTACAGGAAAATCGAAGCCAAGTGCACGATGTGCACTTGCTCGTGCAGTGGTTCCAAGATTCTAACGAACGGACAGATAAACATTCACCAGTGGATCCATGTCTCGGTTAACTAAGACCATTGCGGAAGAGGCCAAGGCCAAGCCCTACGGCGATTTTTTGCCGAAAAGCACGTTGTTGACCCGGGTTGTTGAGCCATTCTAGAGAAACGCAGAGGATAACGTCGCTTGATTTTTTTTTTCTGTACCGCTTCTAAGTACTCGTAAGAAAACCAAATGCGTAAGCATGTCTTTCAGGGTCAAAACCCTTTGAGTTCAAAGTAACGAAAAAATAAATACGAAACTAGAACAAATCTTTTCCAGCGCAAACAGCTTTTAGTTCAAGTAATATACTTTGTCACCAAGTGTGAAGCCATATTTCCTACAGTAGAGAGACTTAAGATTTCCGAGTGCACTTTAATCAAGTCAAGTTAGGAAACTAATCTCGCTCCTAGTGTGAAGCCAGCAATTGGAACTTTAAAAATGTTTCTCTTTTACATAATTATATCTGCAAATAATTATCGTAATTGTTCTCATAAGAAATGTGATTTTGTCAAAAAAAAAAAGTCGTCTATGAAAAAACGCCGCATCTAAAAACTAAAAATTTAATAAACGCCGCGGCGTTTAATCGAATAAATGCAGAAAGTTTTGTAGAATTCTTCATTTTGATGGAAAGGTGTCACTGTCTCAAAGCATACCTCATGTCTTTGTTCTTCAGTATAGCTACGCACACCAGAGAGTTGCCTACAATATTCAAGATGACCAAAACAGACTGCACCGTTGTTATGGCGATCTTTGGCGATTCAGAGATCGTGTACACATACATGGCATTGAAAGTGAGGCCGATTCTTAGTATAAAAGTTTCTTCTCACCTGGTGATTAAGAAAAGGACACGGTCACCATTAGCTCAAACGTTTTTAAATCAATAAGTAAAGGAAAAAAGTGGTTAATTGCAGCTTAGTCTGAACTGATCATTATCCTTTCATGAGAAACCACAATAAATGTTACAGAACAAAAAAGGAACAAGAGAGGGAGGTTAAACAGAGACATCGCGAAAAAAAAAGCCAAATGAAAGGGGGAAAAAAGACACTAACTTACCTGGCAGGAAAGTGGGTTTATGAAATTGATGGGTTTCTGCACATACCCTTCTATAAAGACTTATTGTGCATGTTTGTTTTTCATTAACATCATTTTGTTGTTCAGTCATCAGTATTAAAAATTCATGCCCGCTTAGTTTTTAAATGTAACTGGCTCATCAGTTAAGCTGCGAAAATTAGATACGATGGAATAACTATGGAATAGATGTTATTTAGTAGAAAGGAAACTTTCAAGAAATATAAGCAATCTCTTTCCACCTTGCTGTTGCACAATCAGAGTTAACTAAAGATGGAATTGAAATATAGTTAATGAAATATGCAAAACTTCGAATTCCCTCCTACGAAGACGTCAATCCGTTTGACATTAAGCCCATTTCCTCTAGATAGCAGAAACTAATTTTTCTGCCTAGCGAGAGATAATTGTGAGTGATTGAAACCGTCGCAGGCTGAGTTCAAAATTTGCGATTAAATTGTTGCAAAGATGAGTTGACGTGTAAATATGTTGAAATTATTGTGGATTGCAGACTAGAATTAAAACACGACAGACTTTTGAACTGCAAAGGAAGGATTTCAAAGCAGACTAGAGAGATTAAAATCTAAATTTACAGATTGAGAAGTATACATAAAAAAGGGATTAAAGTTCTTTTATACTACAGTTCGTCTATTCACTGTATTTATTGCCAGAGTATGTTTTCTTCTATAATATCCTCTCCACTGACTTCCTCGTATGGGCCTCCTCACTTACCCCACTAAACTGAAACGACCGGCCCAAAAAGACATATTTAGTCTACCGAGAAGATTGCCACTGAGCAAAGTAGACCAGGACAACCGAACGATAACGATGTTTTTCAAAAAATGCCAACAAAAACAGCTGGGTTTATTTATGATCTATACTCTAAAAAATAAAAAATTACTTCAATTCAACCACAGTCTTGGACAAGTCGAGATTCAAAAGCACCCAAATCACCTTTTAAAGAAAACTCTTGAAGTTTCAGCTTAAGACAGTCTGGTTTTTTGTACGATAAGCAAGCTATACTGATGAGCAGAAATTGTTAGCGTTGTTGCTCAATTTTTTCGCTACTGAATGTTCACGACTTCGAGAACTTTTTAGACTGATTTGTGAAGTCTTAATTAGACAAATTTTGCTGAAGCTTTTACTAAAAACTATTTCTTCATTGAAAAGGTGTCAAAACATGTCACTCGTGTCAACATTTATCCAATCAAATACATTTGAAAAGTATTTCACTTTTTTTGCGTCAATGATGCTCGCGTAGCTCAAGGTTATGTAAAGCATATTCCCCTTGTTTTATGACCAAGAGGTTATTATTGTGTTCACTAAAATGTATATTATAGAAAATAATGACCTCCTGTTTCTATTTTATGACCTGCTCTCCACTTATTCAAAATTGTCACCCGTTGCTAACAATGGAAAGTTGCCTTAAAAGCAAATATTCGTTTTCTTGAGGAAGGCACTGAAATCACCATAACAATTTCTTTCTTTGGAATTAACCTTGATTTCAGTCATTCGATTCCATTTACTATTAAGCTTGCAAAAGAAAAACTTAGTCACTGATGTTTGAGAAAACACAACTAGCACTTCTTTGTAAATATGTTAAAACTCCTGCCAATCAAACTTACGCTAACGACACGCTTAGCCGATAAAGACCTGGAAATTGCCCTATTCGACCAATCGTGTTCAAGTTATTTTGCCCTGTTCATCTCCACCATTAAGAAGAAAGGACCCCCCTCGTAAGCAATTCGGAATTGTGTAATTATAATTTCCCTATATTTTACGATTCACATTTATTTAAATTCACTTTCTTGATATAACATGACCGTTCGAGAACTTAGTAACGAATTTTAAAGAACGAGCGGGCCATGCGAACATGCTGCGAACGCCATGGTACGTCATGGTGTTTGTTGCGAGCTTTTTGATCCAGAATTTGAAAAACAATCAATCATATGATGTTTTTAAAGTACTACTTAAATTTCCGATGGTTCTTCAGGTAGCTTCGGCAGAGTCATTATCTTGAAAGGCTCACCGCATTCATGTAAGACAGTTGAATAAATGAGGTGACTTGATATTAGCCTTTCAAGATAATAACTCTGCCCAAGCCACCAGTAAAACCGTCGGAAATATAATTTAACGAACGCATTGCTTGAAAATTATTAAAACTAGTAACAATGATAGCGACAAGTAGTCGTTTCCACTGAAGGTAAGGTCATGATAAGAGAGTGAAGCTTGATTGACTAAAGTTCCGGGTTTGAATCTTGTTCTGATACTTGTTTCCGTTCCGATAGTCTCCTCATTGTTTGTTTTTGTTTTTGTTTATTTCGTTCGAAAAAGTTGTAAAAAACTCCTAAGGTGGAGTTAAAATAACCTATTACACTGGAGTTTTGCTCCAAAAAAAGAATTATTTTCGTGAAGATGCCACAAAGGAAGTTTAAAACTAACTCAGTCTACTAGGTTTATTTTCAGCCCCATCGTTGGAGTGAATATGAACATGAAACAACAGACCCGAAAACTAAGTTACTTGTCTAAAACTTCAACTTCGGTTTTAGAGTTAAAACTCGTTCAAAATTACGCCGAAATTGTGCTTTCAAACTAGCCACGGATTACTGAGCTTCAGCTGGCCTGTTATATCATTGAATACTATGCGTCAGTACTACATTTTCCTTTCCTTATACCTCAATAATTTTAACTCAAAAAATGTTTCATTTTGCTCCATGTTCCCTGGGGGAAAAGTATAACTAAACATTTCTAATTTCCTTTTTACCTTCCTTTAGAATTCTTTTGACATAAGATAAGGTTCTCTTGCTAACCCTTGATTT